CAAGGAGCCCGATGCGGGGCTCGATCCCAGGACTCTGGGATCATGACCTGAGCTGAAGGCAGACGCTTAACCGACTGAGCCACCCGGGCGCACCATGCATCCAGATTTTTAAAAAACATACGTACCCCTTTACCTCATTGAAAGTGCATCATGCTACTCATTTGTAGTAAGGATTGAAACTCATTTCCCCCTGTTTACTAAAGTTGTATCACTCGTGTGTTGAATCATCTTTCCCATCCGTGTAAGGTTCCTCCTCTGTCCCCAGCTAATGTTGATATAAATGGCAGGGCCTGTTGCCATTGTGCATCTACTGATACAGCACATCTTCTAGAATGATTATTTAAAATGTATCTGATAAGGTTTATCCTACTTCATTGCATTTTAAGCTTATTTTTTGAAATTTTCTTTCTGATTCTCACCCATTGGAATGTAAAGCCAAATCCTCTACAAACTCAGAGTTTCTCTGGGGACAGAAACCAAATCTTAAGTCTTTCGGTGTCCCCAGCACAGCCCCTGGCACGTAGCCATAACTGGTTCCTATTTCTGAGTGAATGAATCCACCCTCTTAGGGTGCTCTCTTACTAAAGGTTGTGGTTAGGGTCGTATGATGCATGGCAATTCAGATGCTATAATAGAAAGTCATGTAATTGCTTTCTATTATTATATTGCTTTCGCTTTTATTTTACTTGACGAAACTGATCAAATGAAGGCCAGAGACACCAGCGTTCCCTTTGTTGAACACCTGCCACACACCCAGCAAAGCCCCATCTCTTTTCCTCCAGTGATCCACGGAGGTACATTATTGCCCCCATCGTATAGATGAGGAGGCCGGGGCTCCGCGTGGTTCAGTGGCCTGCATTTGGAAGGCTGATAAGGGTCAGAGTGGAGCAGCTTACCTAAGCTAGCTGTTAAGCAGGTAGGTCGCAGGACACTGTGGTGTCTGGTGTTGGTGTTGATGGCCTGTGTGACGTTGGCGGTTAGGGGACCCACCTGTCCCCATCTGTATCCCGAGCACCCGAGGGTGGCTGGGAGTGCATGGTGAGACCGGACCCTCCAGCTGCTCTTCTCTTCTTGTCCCTGTGAGCCAAGAACATGTGTCCTTTTCCCTTTGCTGAGATGTTCTAGGCTGGTGTTACTGATACCAACACCATCACTTTGCGGTCCTGTAGGGATGTGTGTTTAGGTATACATGTGACAGTTGTTTGCAATCTCCCTTTATAACCGAGAAGGACAGTTACTTGATGGAGCTGGGGAGAGGAATCAGAACTAGTCGGGTCCCCAATCCATACCTGGTATTCTGTGCCTCGGGCCTTGTCTTGGCCGTAAAGTTCCCCGTGGCCTGTTTTGAGTTGAAGCCTTGATGAGTAATTTTCTTTTAAAGAGGGAGCGAGTACAATTCTATTTTACATTGTAAAGTTATGCGGCTTCTCTTTGCAAATGGAAAATCAAATCCGTGAATACTTAGCAACTGCCATGGGCAAGACTCTTGGTATCATCATTGGCAGAAGATGGTAACCAGATATGTGGAAGATGGATCTGGGCCCAAGTTCAGGTTTGCCATTTATTAGCTGTGTGACCGTGGGCTTGACCCACCTCTCTAAGGCTGCATTTTCTTATCTGGACACCATAGATGAGAATCCCTGTCCTACAGAATGGTGGTGAGGAGCCAAAGAGAGAACATGTGTTAAGAAGCCATTAAACTTGTTAACATATAGGTATGGTTGTCCTGAGGGTCCAGGGGAGCAGTGTAGGGCCATGAAGGGGTCCGGGGACAAAGAAGGAAGAAGCCATTGGAGCTGAAGGTTTATATCCTAGGCTGAGAGTCTCCAAGAGTAGAACTAAGATCTTCACCAGGTAGGGATGTTCAGGGTTGAAGTAGGAGTCAGAGGGGATGGAGGCCCCAAGCTCCGTCCAGAAGTGACTTGCTCTGTAAAAGCCTGGCAGAATTTTTTTTTTTTTTTAAGATTTTATTTATTTATTTGACAGAGAGAGACACAGCGAGAGAGGGAACACAAGCAGGGGGAGTGGGAGAGGGAGAAGCAGGCTTCCCACCGAACAGGGAGCCCGATGCGGGGCTCGATCCCAGGACCCTGGGACCATGACCTGAGCCGAAGGCAGACGCTTAATGACTGAGCCACCCAGGCGCCCAGCCTGGCAGAATTTTATGTACTGACCTGGTTGCTGGTGTCGTCTTCTACTCAACTCTTGGCCTCCTGGGAGACAGAACCGTATCTGATAGTTGCATGGTATACTCGCCCCCGCAACCCAGCTTTGTGCACGGCCCGGCTCAGGGACAGTGGAAACACTTGTTCACTGAAGGAGTGAGTGGTGCTTGGACCATGTTTGTTGACTGAATGAGCGTGACACTGGTTAATGACATTTCCAACCTAGTTTAAAAGCAACTTCAAATAAGACCCATGAGAGAAAGGGACGCTGACAGGGACAAGAAGGACCTGTGAAAAAGAGAGCCCTTTTGGTTGGGTAGCCTGGCAAAACATGAAGATGCTTGCAGGGAGAGAGGCATCCCTCCCCTTACTGAGTACAGCATGGCTGAGACTCAGTTAGTAAGGGTGTCTGTTACAGTTTTCTTCAAATCACGTTTGACTTTTAATTGATACTGGGCACAAAAACATTGAAAATAAGACCTTTAAAAATCCGATCTTTCATTTTTATTTTTTTTTTAAGATTTTATTTATTTATTTGACAGAGAGAGACAGTGAGAGAGAGAACACAAGCAGGGGAAGTGAGACAGGGAGAAGCGGCTCCCCGCAGAGCAGGGAGCCCGATGTGGGTTTGATCCCAGGACCCTGGGATCATGACCTGAGCCGAAGGCAGACGCTTAACGACTGAGCCACCCAGGAGCCCCAAATCCAATCTTTTAATGTCTTAATAAGATTGAAAGGTCTTTATGGTGGCTGCACAAAACCTCTTCTGGGATAGTGTTCATGTTCCAAGGGATGCCCTGCCTTATTCCTGGGTGGATCTGGTCAGGTAAGCTCAGGAAGCAGAAGGAGGGAGCGGAATCCTCCCAGACCCCGAACCACAGTTCCTCACTGAGCACTTTCTCATTTGTCCAGCAAAAGAAGAGCTGCACCATTCTTAGACTAGACCTGAGCCTTTGATGTGAGTTGTCTCTCAAGTGGCCGGGGTGGGAGGTGTGGGTCTAGAACCCAGAGTTCCTTCATTCACCGAACACACTGATTTGTGCCTGCTTCCTGCAGGTGTTGGCAAGGATGCTGAGAGAAAAGGCACGGAGCCTGCCATCAAGGAGTTTCTGACACAATGTGTTCCCTTTAAGGGCCCCCTAAAAGGAAGCAGGGTGGGGAGGGGCCCTGTCCCTCCCTGCTGGACCTCACGTGTGTTAAACAAGTAACGTGATTTTCCTTTGGCAGCTGTGGGATTAGGTTAAATACGAAGCCCCGTGGCTCTGGCTTTATTTATGGTCGTGCAGGAGCAACTCGGGCCGGAGCGGAAGGGCTGGCCTTCTCTGCTCCAGCCAGGGCGCCTCGTTCACCGGTGTCTGTCATCTGGTGTGGTTTCCCAAAGCAAACCACTGTCGCCTGCGTCGTGAAGGTACTGAGAGGGTAGCCCGCACTCCGAAATTAATGCGTTCTCAGCAAAAGCCGTAGAATTGTGGGTAGCCTTGCACCTTGCCAGCTCTTTGTGTTCCTCAGCAACCGCATGTAGCTCTCTCTTGCTTTGTAATGCCAGCATCATCCATCACAGAATGTTCTCAGCTCCAACAATGTATTTGCTAATTAAAATCAGTTGTCTTGTCAAGGTCTGTAAGCCCGTGATTGATTTGATTGCTCTGGCATTTGAAGATTTTTTTTTTATTATGAAAATATTAGAAACATTTTTTTTAAGTAGAGAGCATCGTATGATAAACACCCATATACATATCACTAGACTTAACCCTTGTTAGCGTTCGCCACATTTCTTCATTTATTTTATTGTTGTTGGAGTATTTTCAAGTACATCGCAGACATCAAGACATTTCAGTATCTATCTCTAAAAAAAATAATGACATTTTCCCTCATGACCATAACATCATTGGCATTTCTTTTTTTTTTTTTTTTAAGATTTTATTTATTGATTTTAGAGAGTGAGCATGTGTAGGGAGGGGCAGAGGGAGAGAGAATCTGAAGGAGACTCCGCACTGAACAAAGAGCCGGAAGTGGGGCTTGATCCCACGACCCTGAGATTTCGACCTGAGCTGAAACCAAGAGCCAGACGCTCAACCAACTGAGCCACCCAGGTGCCCCAATTGCCCCCCAATGACAGGTGGTCTGTTCAGCACAGGATACGGTCATAGGCTGCATGTTGCCTTTTGCTGTTTTGCATTTTGCTATTTTATATCTTAAGCTTTTAAAATCTAGAACAGTTTCTTCTCCCTAACTCTTGGGATCTTGTTGGTTTCTGTCATATTGTAGAAGTTCTTGGATCTTTCCATAGAGATGACGAAGTTTTTCGTGGATCCCTTCTGTGCTACAGCTATAGTTATGTTCCTGCATTTCTATGAGTTACTGTTCACTGGAGGTGTTTGTTTTTAGTACTTCATTATTAAACTAGCTTCAGCAGCTTAGAAATGATTCAGATCAAAGGCGCCTGGGTGGCTCAGTTAAGCAGCTCACTCTTGGTTTCAGCTCAGGTCAAGATCTCAGGGGTCCTGGGATCGAGCCCCGTGTTAGTCTCTGTGCTCAGCGGGGAGCTGACTTGAGATTCTCTCTCCTTCTGCCTCTCCCCCATGCGCATGCACTCTCTCTCTCTCTCTCAAATAAATAAATTTTACAAAAAAAAAAGATTCAGATCTGACCTGGGCTGGTAGTTTACTGGAAGAAGCATTCCTTATGTTCATTTCTTTTTAATCTCAAAATTATTTTTCTGTATTTATACAGAGTTTTTTGACTTAAAATGAATGCAAAGCAACAAAGGTGGGTCCTGAAGACCAGCCATGTGTGAGGTTGAGAACAACCTCAGTAACTCTTGTTCATGTTCAGTTTGCAGAGAAATTTCAGGAGGTGAAAGAAGCTGCCAAACTAGCCAGAGACAAGTCCCAGGAGAAAATCGAGACCTCGAGCAGTCATTCCCAGGTAAGTAATGTGTGTACAAAATAAATCTGAGTGTGATCAGTAATTGGGACTCTTTGTTCCTTGTCACTTTTGACAAGAAATAGGGACTTCTAGCAGGAGGGCATTTTGAAGGCTTTTTTTGACTGTTCGCCTGCTCCCACTGAGGTGATATGACATGTTTGTATGAGACTCTTGAATTTTCCATATGTGCTGATGTACTTTTGACAGAAAGCAGTTCATGAGATTAGAACTGCTGCGTGCCCCTGGCTGCTAAGAGACATTCTTTGTCACTATGTTTCAATACCAGAGACGAGGCAGTGAGTCTACACAAAGGATGTGCATTGACGAATACAGGTACCTTGTGCCCTCGAGACAGAAAACTTGGCTGATGCTAGAGAACCCCTGTCTCTATCTCCATGTTTTAACAAAGTCGGATGGGAGATGGTATTCTGACAGCTCTGGATTAGCAAAGGAGGTACCTCTTTGCCAGAAATTGAGTATTCATTCTGTCTACTTAAAAGTGTGATGATTGAAAGGAATCTATTTTAGCCCGAAGTAAAAATACCTACATTCTTTATGTCTGGTTTGGTGTATGTAGTGGTGGGCAGAAGGCTTGACCAAGTGGTAAGGTTCTGTGCATAGAGACAGGGAAGAGGAGACATCGGGGGAGGGGGGGAAGGTTCAGGGTTAGGAATAAGCATGGTGCAGCAGACTCCCGGCCAAGAGAGAGGTGCGCTGTGGGAGGAATTAGAGATGCACTTGGAGATTCTGCAGAAGACCTGGAATTCTTCATTACTAGTTTATTAATTATTATTTACTTAATTGTTATTGGGGAGTTTGGGCGGAACTTGGAGGTGTTGCATGACTTCTTCTCTGGAATTGACATGAGGGTTGCTCACAGGTGGTGAGGAAGTCAGGGAACCACAGACAGCAGGAAGGTTGGCAAGGACGCAGCCACAGGGGTAAAGAGGAAGGGACGGATGTTGGGGACAGCCAGTGGGAAGAGAACCAGGAGACTGGGCATCTTGAGCTGTCAAGATTGACATTTTCGACTTGACTGTCTGCTTTGAAAAAATAATAGCTCAAGTCTTGTGTGTACCGAGAAGCAGTGGGGAGGGGGGTGTACCTCGGTGGCTCAGTCGGTGAAGCGTCTGCCTTCAGCTCAGGTCACGATCCCAGGGTCCTGGGATCGAGTCCCACATCAGGCTTTCTGCTCAATGGGGAGCCTGCTTCTCCCTCTCCCTGCTGCTCCCCCTGCTTGTGCTCTCTCTCTCTGGCAAATAAATAAATAAAATCTTAAAAAAAAAAAAAAGAAGAAGAAGAAGAAGCAGTGGGGAGAAGAGGGTAAAGCTAGAGCCTGGGGAAATGCACCCAGTTGTGGGAAGAGAGCAAGTGAAGACCGCCAAGAAGGAGAGCTCTCCCCATCACTGAACCCGAGGCAGGAACACACTCAGCCTATCCGTGCTGCAGAGCAGAGGGCTCTCGGTTTGTCCACTGCTGGGGCTGGCCCTGAGGACCCAGGGTTTCCCAGCGCCTGTCCTGGCTCAGCATATAAAAGATGCCCTGTGTGAATTTATGGAATGTGTATTAGGCTTCAGGTGGACAGGAACTTTCCTGAATCTTTCCAAAGAATCTTTAATATAATCTGAGTGATACTGTTAATTTCATATACTAATTACCGTACTGAGTAATCGCTGAGGACCTTTAAAGTTGGACACCGGAAATGGTCCGTAATCTAGAGTTTCTAATACAGTCTTTTTCTGAATACCGCATATTATAGCAGTATCTTTAAACTTCAATAATCAGAAGTTCTTTATATAAGGTTTCTGTTTCAATGTTTGTTTTTCCAAAAAAAGGTATTTTATTTTATTTTATTTTTTAAAGATTTATTTGAGAGAAAGAGCATGGGCATGGGGGGAGGAGCAGAGGGAGAGGGAGAATCTCAAGCAGGTTCCCTGCTGAGCATGGAGCCCAACGTGGGGCTCTGTCTCATGACCCTGAGATCATGACCTGAGCTGAAACCAAGAGTCGGATGCTTAATTGACTGAGCCACCCAGGCAACCCCTGCCCCCCCAAAAGTATTTTAAACCTTAAAAAAATCAACTATACCCATAAAGTGCTATTTATATATATGTGTTAATTGTATATCAATTTTTTGTCTCCAAGCTTCAGTTTTTATTTATCTTCCTGATGTTTCCCCAGATGTAGAGATCATTGTACATTTTTCTTTGCATTTTTATTAGAAATCATACAATCGCTTGCTTTCCTGAATCTCTTAGGGAATGAACACTTTGGCCAAGTTTTCCAAATATTTGAAGATCTTAAACATTTTATATGGGTCTTATGTATGTAATGTAATGTAAAAGCAATAGGTATTTACCGCAGAAATCAAAACTATGCTATACTCTAAAGAAGAGAATAAGAACGACCTGCTTTCTCACCACACAAAGATATTGTTAATGTTTTGGTGTGTATCATCTTCCTGATATACTTTTCTAGTATATTTTTCTATTGTTCTTTTTAACCTTTTTAATTTATTTTTTTTCCTAAAGATTTTATGTATTTATTTGACAGAGAGAGATAGTGAGAGAGGGAACACAAGCAAGGGGAGTGGGAGAGGGAAAAGCAGACTCCCTGCTGAGCAGGGACCCCAATGCAGGGCTCGATCCTAGGACCCTGGGATCATGACCTGAGCCGAAGGCAGATGCTTAACAACTGAGCCACCCAGGCGCCCCTAACCTTTTTACTTTATATTTCATGATCATTCCCCTGTGTTTTCAAATATCCCTTTTCAAAACTGTCTTAATGACTAGTATTTGTCTGTATTGCAACTTATTCCATTAACCTACACTTTGAGATATCGATGTGGTTTCTAATTTTCATTAATATAAATGACACTGTGATCAACATCCTTGCACATCTCTGTGCATTTGGTAATTTCTGCAGGATAAATTCTCGAAGTGCAAGTATTGGATTAAAAGACAGGGACATTTTAAAAGCTTTGGTAAATACCGCCGACTTAACCTACAGAAATGTATGATTCTAACTCCCACCAGCAGTGACTGAGAGCGATTTTTTTTCCTCCCACACTCTCACCAACAAAGCTTTGTTGACTTGACAGAAGAAAAATGTGTTCTGTTGGCTTTTTTCATTTTGCATTTCTTTACCAGTGAGATTAAATATTTTTTGTGTCTATTGATTCTATCCATTTCTTCTTCTGTAAATGTCAGTTGTGTATTTTTTTCCTTTTTAAAAAAGATTAAAATGTTCATCTTTTTTTGTTGATTTCTTTTTTTTTAAGATTTTATTTATTTGAAAGAGAGCGTGAACACAAGCGAGCGGAGATAGGATTGGGGGGAGGGGCAGAGAGCGAGGGAGAAGCAGACTCCCTGCTAAGCAGGGAGCCTGACACGGGGCTCAATCCCAGGACCCCGGGATCATGACCTGAGCTGAAGGCAGACGCTTAACCGACTGAGCCACCCAGGCACCCCCTTTGTGTTGATTTCTAAGAATTTTATTTTTACATGGGTATTTTTGAACATATTCAAAGCTAGGCAGAATTATATAATGAACCTCCATGGGACACACAGATCAGCTTTAACAATTAGGAATTTATGATCAATTGTTTCGTCGTGCCCCCACCCCCCTCCCCCTAAAATTTAAGCAAATCTTAAACATCTTATTTCATCCATAAATATGTCAGCGTGTGGGTCTAAAAGACAAGGCCTCTTAAGAGTTTTTCAATATAGGAAAGGTATTAACATCTTATTTTTCATATATGCAAATGCTCAGCAGCAGATATTTTCCCCAGGTTTTTGTGCATTTTTTATTTTGTTTATGACATTTTTTTTTTTTTACGGTGCAGAAATTTAGCGTTAGTCAAATGTATGCATCATTCCCTTCATGGTTCCTTCCTTTGCCTTTATGCTCAGTGGAGGCTAAATAAGATCTAAGATCTTATCCAAGATCAGATGAGATTTTACCTCCCTGTGGTATGACTTATTACAGAAACTATTTCAGAATATTCATAATAATGCTAACGAGCCGTGGGGGCCGTGCGCACATCCATATCTGATCCCTGGTTGTTTTGTGCATCTTGCTCTCTCTCTCTGGCCCCAGGGGCTGTAAGTTGTCCTCGCTTTGAAAATACTTTTTCTTTTTTCCTCATTCACTGTTCTTGTTCCCTGTTGTAAACCCCTGCTCCCCCTCTCATCCGTGGCTTCTGTGTTAAATAAGGGAGACCAGGTATGCAAGCTTGTCGAGTGTATCTATAAAGCTGAGTAACAAGATGGCCCCAGGGCCCCAGGTGCACTCTGGTCAATAAAGTTCACAGACTTTCTCAGATTCCCCTGGACTCCTCCGGGCCTTTTCCATGGTTCTTTTTTTTTTTTTTTTTTAATTAAGTTTCAGAGGTAGAATTTAGTGACTAATAGCCTCTCGGGCTGGTCTTTGCCGCGTTCTGATGAGTTGGTTCTCCCCGGCTCACGAACACACTTTCTCATTATGCCTGATTTGCTGCTACTGTGAGCAGTAGTGTGTGAAGGTAACTCACTTTGGCCAGGAATCTGGGTGTGAAACCCCGTCTTCTCCTCAGGTGTCCAGCGTCAACGGGACAGACGATGAAAAGGCCTCTCATGTGGGTCCTGCTGACACACACCTCAAGTCTGAGAACGACAAGCTGAAGATCGCCTTGACCCAGAGGTAGGGGTATTTAAATCCAGATGGCATTTTCTCCAAGGTCAGTGCCTCCCCGCAGCCTTTCCTGCCAGGCGGGGTTTCACAAGGAGACTGGGTCCTGCTCAGAGTGTCTGGTCTTGTCTATGGACCAAAGGAAGGCCAGCTGGCTTCATGGCTGTTCTCTGTCTGGCCGACTAGACCAGGAGTGTGTGTGTGTGTGTGTGTCTGCCTGAGTGTGTGGGAGAGTACACAGCATGTGGAAGACTGTGTGTGTGTGTGTGTAAGTGTGAGAGAGACGTGTCCCTGTTCTTGTGTTTTGTTTTGGCTTTTTGAGGAGCCAAATGTATCATTTATTTGTATAGCGTAAGACTGAATCTCCAACATCCAAGAAAAACCTATAAAAACCTGTTAAAAATAATACAACCTTGCACAAAAATCAATAGCTTTTCTATGTACAAACATCACATAGAATATGTATTTGAGGAAGAGATTTCCTTTATAATACAAACTAGAACCATCAATTACATGAACTAGAAACATAAAATACAGAAAGCTTAAGGGCACAGTATCTCTGTGAAGAAAGTTGTAAAATGATTTTGAGGACCATAAATGAATAATTAAACAAATAGAAAGATACATTCTATTGGGAGGTGGTAGAAATGCCTTCATATTTTAAAAAGAATCCATTCCCCCTAAATTGATGTATAAATTTAACACAGTCCCCATAATAATATCAATATGATTTTAATTTTGGTTTTTTGTTTTATTTTATTTTATTAGTTAATCACCATATGTTACATCATTAGTTTTAGATGTAGTGTTCCATGATTCATTGTTTGTGCATAACACCCAGTGCTCCATGCAGAACGTGCCCTCCTCAATACCCATCACCAGGCTAACCCATCCTCCCACCCCCCTCCCCTCTAGAACCCTCAATTTGTTTTTCAGAGTCCATCGTCTCTCATGGTTCGTCTCCCCCTCTGATTTCCCCCTCTTCATTTTTCCCTTCCTACTATCTTTTTTTTTAACATATGATGTATTATTTGTTTCAGAGGTACAGATCTGTGATTCATCAGTCTTACACAATTCACAGCGCTCACCATAGCACATACCCTCCCCAAAGTCTATCACCCAGCCACCCCATCCCTCCCACCCCACCCCCCACTCCAGCAACCCTCAGTTTGTTTCCTGATATTAAGAACTCCTCATATCAGTGAGATCATATGATACATAACACGATTTTAATTTTTAATGACTACACAGGCCGCACTTACAGTTTTCCTACCTTGAGAATGTGGCCCATTTCCTGACGGCTGGCCTGGCCCCATGAGCACGCTCAGAGCTGCGGTCCTTGGGAATCATCCTGTCCCCGCCCCGGGCAGGGGCTTGGCCAGCTTCTCCCAGCCCTTCTGTGGCTGAGAAGCTGCTCTCCCCAGACTAGAACCATTGAAAAGCTGGATCATACTAATATCTCCATTTTGCAGATGAGGAAACTGAGTCCCAGGGGTAAAGTGAGTCCTTGCCTAAGGTCACATGGCTAGTCAATTTCTCCACCGTCCTGCCTGCTCTTCACTCTTTTGTTGTTTAAGACACAAGATACTTCTTGGATGAAAACGTTTCACCCCTAAAAACAAAGGTTTTTAAATCCCAACTTAATGAACAAGAGCATTATAGGAATGGGTGTGAAGCCATTTCCCTAAATCAGCTTAAATTCTCAATCACCAACTCTGAAATTAATCAGATTTCATTTTACTTTTTTTTTTTTTTTTTGCCTGTGGTGCTTGAAACTGAAAGCTTGAATTTCTAGTCACGTCCCTCCGTCCTTGAAGCTGTGGGATGGAAGATAACCAGATTATTGAGATACAGTCCTATTTACTTACCCCCCACCCAGCCCCCAAAAAGGCCTTTCGAGACAGAAGTGACTTCAGCCAGCAGGGTGGATTAGAAGCCGGACACTTTGAGCAGGGCACGCCCGGCGTGTCCCGTGGGTCCTGTGCGTCCTGAGCAGCTCTGGCCTTGGGTGGGCGGCAAAGCCAGGAGACAGAAGGAACAGGAAAGCCAACAGCCCCTGAGGGGAGCCTGATTGCAGTTGGATGAAAGACAAACAGGAGGTTGTTTTGGTCCCGTGGAGGTGTCCTGCAGACCTGTGGTCCTCCCCCGCCCCTGAGGGGGACACACGCTATCACTGTCCCCTCTGCCCTCTGGTCATCGGCTCTGGATTCCCCAGCAGGCTTGGAGGGGGTACAGGTTATCATCTGGAGCCGGGCTGCCTGTCACACCCGGGGTCCTGGGGTGTCGGGGACTCGTGAGACTCTCGGAGACCCGCTTCAGAGCCTGTGGCTTTGGGGCTCGCTTGAGGAAGGGACGAGACAGAGGGTTCTGGGGCAGGGGCTCAGTAGGGAGTGGAGTGAGGGGGTCCTCCCTACACCCTGGGGCTTCCTTCTTAGCTTCGGCTCCTCCTTCTCCAAGAGTTTTGTTCTTTCCTAAAGCGACAGCCCGGCAAGGTGACCTGTTGGCACTGGAGAGGCGCCAGCCCTTCCTGGCACCTGATCCTCCTGGCCGGCCCGCCGGGGGGCCAGGGTGTGGCCCCCAGAGGCAGGAGGGGGGTGGCAGGTGGGGTAGAGCGGGGTGGATGGCACCCGGCGTCCGGGTCACCACCTGGGCCCGCCCGCAGTGCCGCCAACGTGAAGAAATGGGAGATGGAGCTGCAGACCCTGCGGGAGAGCAACGCCCGGCTGACCACAGCGCTGCAGGAGTCGGCCGCCAGCGTGGAGCAGTGGAAGCGGCAGTTCTCCATCTGCCGCGACGAGAACGACCGGCTCCGGAACAAGGTGGGTGCCGGGGGCGCCCCGGGGATGGGGGTCCCCGTTCCGCTTCTCCCTCCCCACCGCCCTCACTCGCCGCCCCCCCCCCCGCCCCCGCCATGGCGGCAGGAAGACTCGCTGTCGCTCCCCTTGGAACCCCCCCCACCTCCCCACTTTCCCGAGGAGGAACACGAGGGAGTGAGCCAGGTTTCACTGCTGCTATTGCAAAGGAGAAGACGAACCCACAGCAGACTCCAGCCTTGTCCCTCTGATGCTAGCTGGGGACGGCCCTCCCTTGGCATGTTCTGCGGTGCGTTGATCTTCGGTAGAGAAAAGGGATCCAGAGGGTGAACGAAGAAAATAGATTCGGGAAACTGCGAGGAGCGTTCACTCAGCAACCCTACTTCCGTGCAGATCGCTGTGACTAAGAATATGGACTGGGAAGTGGGCAAAGGAATATGGCGCCTGAAGTGTGAGCCGAGTGATCCGAGCATGCCTCCGATCGTCTGCAGCCTTCCCTGTAATTAGTCGCTCACGCTCTTCGTGGTGGGGCTGAGTCGATGAGGTAGTTGTGGGGCGGCCAGAAAATCCCCACTTGAGACCCCAAGGGTCTCCGTGTGGCCGTGTTTTGATGCTCAGCCCATTTATCAGGCAGGCCGTGGACAGCGGCTGCCATGTAAGTGTGGGATTTCAGGGGGACACATCACCCTGAGACGGGTCTTCACCCCCCTGCCCCCCGTTTGTAACCTGCCCACCGGCCTGAATGGAGCCACCAGAGGCCGCTTCCCTGCTTGCCCATCTCCCTTTGCTACAGATGGCACATAAAACTGCCTCGTGTCATTTTTTCATGTCAGTGCCTCAATGCTGACCGTGAGGGCACCAGGCCAGGTGCTGGACTGCGTGCGTTCCCTCCCGGGCCTGGCCGGTCTGTCTGCCCGCGGCCCCGATTGCCCATCCTTCTCTTCCCAAGCAGAGAGCTGGCTCTCGCCCTTCGCGCGAGTGTAACGGGGGGAGGAGAGGAAGGTCACCCCTTAGAGTTGGCTCCCTCGACAGGAAGCACTGGGAACTTGATTTCTCGGGCACCAGGTGGAAGTTGGTGGAGTCCCCGGAGGCTCCTGGGGCTGGGGGTTCAGACTCCGGGGGCTGGCGTGCAGCCGCCTCTGAAAGTGTCGTCATCTTGACTGCCCGGCGCCCTTCCCCTCGAGGGCTGCCGTCTGCTTGTGGGACCCCATCAGCGTGGTGCTTTGTGTTACCGTTGGCTCCCTTCCATCATGCTCTCTGCACACATGCTCTGGCTGCGGGGAAGCACTCGGCGTCGGACGGCCAGGCCAAGGCTGTGAGGCCTTTGAACCCCGTCTGAGGGGTCAGGCCAGGGAAGGGGAGAAGAATGCGCTCTGGAGACTTGCCGGTCCAGTCTGCCCCTCTCAGTTCTCCCAGAGGAGGCTCGCTCACAGGCCAGGCCCTTCCGGTGTGCGTCAGGAAGGAAAGGTCACCCTGGTTTAAGATGTTTGAAATGTCATTGCATCTCATTTGGGGGCCACTGTCCCACAGCGTTAATTGATTCTCTTCCCTGCTGTCTTAAACCTTTGAGATGAAATAGAATAATTCAGGACACGATCAAATGGTGTAAAAAATCATTATGGGGAGAAGCAGATAGATTCGTGGGACATCTGGCCCCTACTCGGGACGAATCCTTTAAAGCAAACCTGCCGTTCCTGGCCTGGGGCGGTGAGAGCAAACCGGACGCCCGGCGGGTCCTGTGGCCGGGTCCCGTGGCCCAGCCGGCATTAGGCAGGGCGTCTCGGGCACGCAGGGCAGGGCGGACAGCCCTGTGGGGAGCCACACGGGGTCTGTCGGCAAGCACAGGAACAGCGTGTAAGTGGGTTCGTACACGGTTCATTGTAAGACAGCCTCAACGGCCGCGGTGATATTTTGCTCCGTGACCCAAGTAAACGAGCCTCCCTGCTCCAGCCTGCGGTGTTTGTTACAGATTGACGAGCTGGAGGAGCAGTGCGGCGAGATAACCAGAGAGAAGGAGAGGAACACGCAGCTCAAGAGGAGAATCGAGGAGCTGGAGTCGGAACTGCGGGAGAAGGAGACGGTGAGTAGAGGCGCCCGTGGGTGCTGTGCACCCAGGACACGGCAGGTGTCGGGGGTGGGGGGACGTGACCGGCCCTGGGGGGCAGCTGCCTGGACGTCAGCCCCGGGGGCCAGCCGAGAGCTTCACCGAGGCTCGGGCCCGAGGGGGAGCCGCACGTTGACGAAACAGTCGGGAATGTTGATAGGTGAGCTGCCATCAGAGGTAGAGTTGTGCTGTCTGGCTAACGCAGCGAGAGCCCCCGCCGTGCAGGCGTTTGTTTTTTTGGGGGGGGGCAGGACCACTAAGTGCACAGATGCTGGAGACCGTGGGCAAGGCGCCAAACCTCCCAGCCTCCGTTTCCCTATCTAGAAGATGGGGATGCTAAGAATCCACACTTTGTGGCGATGTGCAGACGTCCGGCTACGATAATGCACGTAACAGGATTGCCCGTGTGCTGAGTATTAACTCCACCGTCTTTGTTACTATCGAGGACGTCAGGAGCTGTTTCCGCTAATGTGCACACGGACCGTGGGCTTTCAAGGAGGCGTTTTACCTGACTTTCCCATCCTTTTCCAAACTTCTGTCCCCTTAGGAGTTGAAAGACCTCCGCAAACAAAGTGAAATCATACCTCAGCTCGTGTCAGAGTGTGAATACGTCTCTGAGAAGTTAGAGGTAAGGGTGGTGGGGGCGCATCCGTCTTGGCTCCGACCAGAAGGAATGCGGGGTGCGACGCGTTTCTCTGGGGCGCCCCCTCTCCCAGCTCCCCTGGTAAAGCAGAGTGACGTTCTCGTCATGAGAAGCCGGCACCACCTGCATGCCAGTTGCCGTCTCTGCTGCCGGCTGGACTCAGCAGTGTTTCTGCTGTCTCCACGTCTGCCAAGGTGTCCTGTGCGTAGCCGTAGCGCAGGGGCTGTGTCCCGCCCACAGAGGTCTCCACAGAGCCTTAGGGCGGTGAGGAGCTGGCCCAAGGGGGGGCGGAGAGCGTAAGACCCGGAGTGAGGCCACCTTGCCGCTCCCCAGCCAGTGACCTTGAACACGACCTTGGGCAGCGCCCCCTCACTGGCCTCAGATTCCTGATCACAGCCTCTTTCACCTCCCCCTACTTCAGGAGTGCTCTATTCAGGTGTGCGACCCCACTATTAGTCACTGGTTCCCGTATACCCAGAAAGTCAGGTGCTCACTGGATGTGGGGAGCACAGGCCTGCCCCTCGTTTAGGGACTCACAGCCACCCTGCGCTTAGGAGGAGCTCGACCGGCTCCCTGGCCACAACACCTGATCCCGGAGCCCCTCCTGCCTCACTGAAGCCAGGGAGGCCGAGGCCTCTCCGTGGAACCGGGGAAATAAGTCACTGCCCCGTTTGTCCCATTTCTCTCTCCCGGAATGGAACTCACATGTGGCCTCTGCAGACCCTCCTGGGACCAGGGCCGAAGATCCCTTGTGCTGGGCCTGCAGACTTTCTCTGCCGGGCGCTTCGTGAAAGGGCCCACTTGCCTCCGGCTCCCCCAGGCAGGACCCGAGCTCTGCATTCCGTGTAGGGCCGTCCTTTAATCAGGCCCGAGGTGGGTCATGCACTCTGCCTGTTAGCACCTCGGCCAGGGAACAGGCCGGAGAGCGGGGCGCCCCGGCACGCCCCACATCCTGCGCTGACGTCCCCGGTCGCGGACTTGCGGGGACTTGCGTGCTGGGGGCTTCGCAGGCCGGGGAGAGGGGACAGCTGGGCTGTTGTGGGTCTCGGCGGACGGCCCCCTCGGCTCTGCTCCAGGCCCTCCTCCCGCTTGTCTTGCTTCAGGCGGCAGAGAGAGACAATCAGAACCTGGAGGACAAGGTGCGTTCCCTCAAGACGGACATTGAGGAGAGTAAGTACCGTCAACGCCACCTGAAGGTGGAGGTGAAGAGCTTCCTAGAGGTGCTGGACGGCAAGATTGACGACCTGCACGACTTCCGCCGCGGCCTCTCCAAGCTGGCGGCTGACAACTAGGGGCCGCGGGGGGCGGGGGGGGGGGGCCGCAGGGGGGACGGAGTGGGGGCGGCCTCCCCTCGGCGTGGGTGCGGTCTCGCGCGTTTGCGCACCGGGGGCGCCGTCCAGCCTCGCCCCCCCACCCCCGGCCCGGCCAGGCTGCGGACCCCGGGACGCCGCTGACTCAGGAACCCCGCGCCAGGTACCCCTTACGCGTTTACGCAGTCAGGGCAGGGATGTTTGTATCTTTCTCAAGGGCTGTGGCAACCACACCAACCGAACAAAGCGTTTTCTGATCCAAATACGAACACCCTTTACACCTCCTTTTTCGGAAGAGCGGTCGGAGTATTTGAGCGCCCGCCAGGCACCAGTGTGGGGGTCCCGGGGCGGGGGGACAGCTTCCCTCGCTGTCAGAACCAAGATGCTTTCAAGCGGTCTGAGTGAGACTGGTCCAGAGAAAGAGACCAGGTCTCTGGTGGGTGCCCGGGGGTGGCCTGCATCCGCTCCGCCCGCCTCCCCGCACCTCCAGTTTGCAGGGTTGCCACAACGTCCCTTTCCCGGGCTTTCATTTCTGAGCAGATTGCGTGCTGTGGGGGCAGAGCGCAGCGGGGGCGCCTGGCACAGTGCCTGGCACGAAGTAGGTGCTTAATAAATCTTTGTTCAATTCAACTTACAAACATCACTTAGTGTTTTAATCAACCCCCCCAGCAGAGTCCATCGGACCCTGTTGGACGGCCCGTCCTCTTGCTGTGCTGGACAGGAATTCGACTGACTGTGTGTGGTCAAGCTCTGGGTGGGCTCTGGGGGCCCCGGGGCAGGGCTGGTGCTGGAGGCAGCAGGAGCTGGTCTGAGGCCGCTCGTGGCCCATCCACGGCGCTCGGCCCCTGAGTGCCTTTGAACTGGGACCCCCCTTCTTCTTTAGGGTGGGGATCTAGGAGAGGACCCTATGTTGGGACTGGACAACTAAGAAAGAAATCACACAGGCCCACGAGGAGAGTCCACTCAAACTGGCTGAGCCATGGCCTTAGCACCTCCGCCCTCTCTCCGTGCCTGCTAAGGAAAGGACCAGAGCCATGAAGCTCTCCTCTCTCACTGAGTTTCTCAGCCGGGCCAGGGAAGGTCTGGGCGCCCTGCACGTGGCAAGATGGTTTGAATCCCTGGCTACGGGCATTTCTAAATGCCTTTCGGGGTGGTGGGGAGGCTTTGGTGCCTCCTTACCCCCCTTGCCTGCTTTGGGAACCACCAAGAGAACATCTCCTTCTAGAAAGAGTTTCTAGAATTTCTCTCTGGGGAATTTGGATGAATAATAAAACAGCCTGAGGAGGCAGGTGGGACACACACAGATGTGACCCGGGCCCTGGGATGAATCCTGCTTTTGGGACCATGTCTCTGAGCAGAGAGCTCTTATTGGGATGAGGGAGGGAAGACCAGTCGTCTGGAGCACCAAGGCACCTCGGGGTGGGGGGCGGGGGGTCCTGCAGGCTGAGGGGGGCAGCTCTGCTTGAGCATACTGGGCTCGTGGCAGACAAAGTGGAAAGCATGGTCAGCCCTCTTGGTGACTTGAGATAGGGTGCTGTTGGCCCGCCCTTTCCCCAGAACCCCCCCAGATAGCTCTCAGGGCAATCGGGAGACCAGAGAGCTGGGCAGGCCACGATTCAGCCCCGTGGCCCAGCAGTGGCTCAAGGGGGTTCTTCTCAGGCCAGGTGAGACCACCTGTCCGCAGGCGGGGCCTGGGGCTGCCTGGGAGCAGTGCCCACTGGGATTCCAAAACCTCCGCTTGGGTCTTCTGATGCCTGCCGCCCCTGTGTGTTGGGTGACTTACGGATCTGGAAGGAGCCGTCTTGACTGACTGCAGCATGCTCAGGCAGCATATGCATAGGAAGAGAGTGTTGCCAAAGCCTTTTGCGCGTTCCGCAGCTGGGGCGGTGGGGAACATTGCAGAGGTGGTGCCGTGACTGGTAGGCTGCCGTGTCCCTCTGTGGCCAGGACCCGTGATCCCTGCTCTCCCGTCCCTGCGGGGTTTGGCCAGCACCTTGCCAGGGGGTAGGATCCGCGGTGTGGCCTCGGGTGTTGCAGCCCGGGAGCCAAGAGCAGCAGGGGCGCCTCTAAGGGAGGATGGGTTCAGCGGGGAAAGCACCACAGCTGTAGGAAAGCACGGGCCTTTCACTTCCTTCCGCTTTTCTCTGAAGATCTTAGTGCTTCTTCATTGACTTTATTTAAAAAAAAAAAAAAAAGATGGCCCAGGGCCAACCTGGAGGGTCTGTGGAGAGACTGCCCCATCTGACAGCCCCTGGCACCGTGAGGGTGGGCTCCGCGGAATGAAAAGGACCCACTGCATTCATCGCACTTTCCGCCTGAGCCAGTTTCATGCCCTCGCTTATGGGCACAGCTAGCTGCACCGATGTCCTTCGGTTGTCCTCACTGACGCCGAGCGTGGGCAGCACGTCCGCCTCGCACTCGTGCATCCGTCGGCCAGGCCCTGCTGCTGGACCGGCTAGAGCCAGGACCGCTTCCTTGCCAGGTCATGTCTCCTGATGTTGACATGTCCGGGGCCGGCCGCCTGAACAGGGATTAGCTTTTTTCCCGCATCTGTGAAACTGGGGCCCAAAGGAGGTGAGGTGAACCGTGGAACCCCTTCATCATAATGGGCCTTAAAAATAATTTTCCTTCTGGGGTGCCCGGGTGGCTCAGTCAGTTAGGCGGCCGACTCTTGATTCCGGCTCAGGTCATGATCTCAGGGTCCTGGGATCGAGCCCCGCGTCAGGCTCCCCTCTTAGGAGGGAGCCTGCTTCTCCCTCTGCCTCTGCCCCTCCCCCTGCTCACATGTGCTCACACTCTCTCTCAAGTAAATAAATCTTTAAACATAATAAATACTGTTCCTTCTAAGTAAAGACTCAACTGGGTGCATCACAAAATTGAGAGAGACAAGGGGAGAAGTCTCCCTAGTGCCCAGGGAATGTAACCCCCAAGTGACAGGTTGGGACAGTGTGGTCATGCCTTGAAGGGAGAGCGAGCCAGCATCCGCGGAGACCTGGAGCTTGGGTGGTCTGTGAGTCCCACGCTGTCCTGCGTGCTGTCACGTTAGACTCAGGTGGGCGAGCGCGTTGGGCAGTCATTCCCCACTTTGCAGACAGGAAGCGGAGACAGTGACATGGCCATCACCCAGCAGCCTCATGGGCTCCCCGTCCGGCTCTTCCGGACTTTGGTCCGGGGTCATTCTGGGAGCCATGCCACCGCTCTCCCTTTGTGACCTTTGCGTACCAAGATAAAAGTTCTCTGGGATCCTGATGAGAGCACACTGCAGTTATATGATTTTAGTATGTGTCCACAGCAGGTGGTGATTTATAAATGAGCGAACTAGAATTCCATGACGGTCATTACAGACAGTAGGCTGCATTTTTGAATGTCTCCAGCTTTGCAAGGACCTTTCTGAGAGTGTGTTGGTTAAAATGCTGCCCGTGCTCTGAGAGGCCAGATCTACGAAACACAGCCGTTGCAAGTTCTTCGTTGATGGCTTGCTTTAGTGGTGGTTGAGTGGTTTGTCCAAAGACAAACTGAGATGGCAGAGTGGTAAGCCGAGTTCCGGCTGGGAGGTTGTCTGACCGCTGCCCACCGCCTGCCCAGCCCGGAGCCAGCCCTGGGGAAGGAGCAGGCCAGCCCCCTGGTCAGAGCAGGTTGAGTAGGACCTGACTTGACCCCCAGGAGGACTGTCCAGGGGGGCAGTGGTCTCCAGCCTGCAGGCTCCCCGTGGATTTCTCCAGACTCGGGCAGCCCACGAGCTCCGCCTTGGGGACGGTGGTGCCCGACGGGTGTGTCCTGTATTTGGCATGAAGCATCGAGGCAGGGGTAGAACAGAGGATAGTTCGGGTGCTCCCTGCAAACACTGCCATCCGCCCATTCTAAAGGACTGCTTCTCTCTAGAAGGCAGGGGCAATGTTGGATGAGAACCAGCCACCGGGCATGCCGGGGACCATACTGGGGCACCTCCCACGTTGCCAGGGGCACCCTTAGAAGGAAGGCAGCCATGAGGAGGCTTGAGCATAAGTGTTCAAAAGAGGCTGCCCTTTACGACGGAGACAGCCGTGCCCTTTGCTCATCACCGGACGTGTGTTGTTTGTACCGTCGGCCCTTCTGCAAGTTACGACTCTTTTATTTCCTTGAAATGCCACTGGATTTTTGAAGTGCTGACAATTTAAACTAGAAGCTTGCAAATCAATGTCCGTATATATTTTTTAATGATATGCATGGTTTAAAAGGAGTCTAATTCTGAGTACATGGTTTCTCCAAAAAAACATATGTTCGGGGGGGTGGTGGGGGTGGCAACATGGAGAGGGAATCCTGTACGGAAATGTCTGTTCTTTACATGTCTTTTCCATACACCTGTCTCAAGGATATGGGCTTTTCCTCTTCAAACACCAGTCAGGCAAGAAGGAGACTTTGGTAATAATTTGGCAACTGGAAGGAATGTTCTAGCGAACTTAGGAGTGTGCGTGTGCACACGCGTGTGTGTGTGTGTGTGTGTTTTGGAAAAAGTGGGAGAAACTATAAGGAACGGTTTTAAATAAAAAATATATATACCTAAGAGCAGTCTTTAATAATCCTGGTGGTGATGCTGTATGTTCTGGAATCTGTTTTTGAGGAGATGAGTTTGTGGGTCTTTTGTTTCGAGTGGAATTGCACAGTGCCCTACTCTTTTTGATGATGCAGAGCCTTGTGAAAAGTGGTCCCCCAGGCCACACAGACCCCTGGTGCACCTAGCAGGAGGCCAGACTGTGGGACATTTTGGCAGATGATTGACAGGTCTGATGATATGCAGCTTTGGGGAATGTGTTACTGTTTTTACCCTGTTGTACTGCTTTGAATATAAAGTCCTGACTTCAAATAAATTGTTGTAGCAATGTCTTATGATATAATAACCCATTAAGCATTTCTTATATCAAATGTAAGAATTTAATGATTAGTACAAGGTGGTCAAGTGGACTCTCCCAGGAGTACTAGGGTGTGGTTTTTTTTTCCTTTTTAAATGTGTTTTTGGTTCCTAAATAATATATACATTTTTCAAAAAAAACTACAGATGAGTGAAAAGAAAAAAATCACCTGCTATTAGACCATCTGATTATAACCACTGTTGACATTTTAGTATATATTTTTTCAGACTTTTTCCTATGTATCTGTATTCATTTCATTACTTTTTCATGAAAAACAATTATGTTACACATAACTGTTTTATAACTTTTTTCCCTTGTGACGTTATATCATGATTATATATCACTCAAGATGTGAATTCTATCATTTTTAACATCTATATAGGTTGTCCTGTGGATACTTGGGTGGTTCCCGATTTTTTATGGTCACGGTCAAGGATATGATGAAATCCTTTGTTCTAACATCTTTTTAAAATTTTCAGAAGATTTAGTGAAGATCATTTCTAAAATTGGACTTGCTAGGTCAGAAGTGTGCTGGGTAATGCACATGCTACTCCATGGATGTCTCCTTCTGTCCTTCCTGGGCACACGGGAGACTCCGCTCCAGCCCCCTCATCTGAAGTTATGCAGGGTCCTTTGACATTCGGGCCAATGAAACCAGAGCAGAAGAGACCTGAGAAACTCCCAGGCCGAGACTGTGAGATGCCCATGACCCTGTTCTCCAGGCTTTGCACCCTTGCTTCCGCACGGGG